ACACTTGTAATCCCAGCACTTTGGGAGGCTGAGGCAGGTGGATCACTTGAGGTCAGGAGTTTGAGACCAGCTTGGCCAACGTGGTGAAACCACATCTCTACTAAAAATACAAAAATTAGCCAGGTGTGGTGGCGGGTGCCTGTAATCCCAGTTTAGGAGGCTGAGTCAGGACAATCGCTTGAACCTGGGAGGTGGAGGTTGCAGTAAGCTGAGATCACGTCACTGCACTCCAGCCTAGGCGACAGAGTAAGACTCTGTCTAAAAGAAAAGAAAAGAAAGAAAGAAATTGACACCTCCAATATAGCACCCTGGCATGCTAATTATTTTCAATTAATGGCCCTTGAAGAACAGCAGATCCTGGAAGAAGCTTTATGCTGATATTTCCTTATCTAGCTCAAGTCCAGACCCGCCAAAGAAGAAAACAGTTACCTGTAGTCCTTTCTCTGAGTTTTCATTAATTTAACTCATATTGCAGGAAGAGACTGAGGTTTGTCAACACACCTGGACAAGCATTTGTCATCAACTATTGTCTGCTGTATGTTCTACAAGCCCATAGAATTCCCCTAAAAATATTTCACCATGCCTCAAACTGCCACATTTCTCCCTACCCCTATAAAGAAGAGTTTATAAACATCTGTACCCCATTGGATTATTGGGTAATCATCCTTCTGTGATTCTCTCATGCTATGCATGTTAAAATAAAATTTGTATGCCTTTCATCCTATGAATCTGCCTTTTGTCAGCTGATTTTCAGCGAACCTTCAGAGGGCGAAGGGAGTTTTCCCTTGACTCTACACTTGGTGAAGTAGGTTGTACTGAATATCACCTGTGGTGGTGGTTGTGAAATGCTGGAGAATTTGCATACTTCACGACAAAATTTAATTGCAATCCTCTATAGGCATTTGGGAGTACTAAAGTCTCTTTCCATACAGTCTAGCAACATTACCTCTTTTTATTGCTCTCCTTGCCCCAAATTTAGGCTCTGAAATTCTCTATGTTTTCAGAACAATTCAGTTTAGGTCCTTAGCTAGTATAGCTCTCTCCAAACAAAAGCCACTCAGCTGGAGGAACTCATCGTTTTAGAAAGCAGGCCAGTGGCCATCTACTGTTTATTTCATAGGGATTGGCTGAAAACCACCAATTTGTAATGGTTTCTCTCTTCACCCCAGATGATCTACCCAAATGATTCCCCAAGCAGAACTGCCCCCTGCTCCACTTTTTTTTTTGGATAGAGTGGGAGGGTAGTGGTCAGAGAAGGGCATATATAGAGAGGGGAACATGTGGTTCGGCTGCTAAAAAAAATCATATAGTTTTCTCCATATTACATCTAATTTATAATATTAGGTAACTGAGTGTTCTAAAAGAGTTACTATGTTTCAATAAGTGCCTAACTTGCTCCTAAATAGAAACAAAAACATTTTTATAATAGCTTTGTTTTATAATCAGCTATAATTCACATATTATGAAATCTACCCTTTTAAAATGTATAATTCAATGACTTTCAGGATACTCACAATTGTCACATCTCATTCTAGAATGTTTTCATCACCTCCAAAAGAAACCCCTTGCCCCTTAGCAGCCACTCCCTAATTTTCCCCTCTCCTCAGCCGGTGGCAACCACTAATCTACGTTCTATATAGATTTGCCCGTTCTGGACATTTCAATTGCTCTTTTGTGACTTTTTTCACTTAGCATAATATTTTTAAGTATCATGTATGTTGCAGAATGTATCAATACTTCATTCTTTTTATGCCCAAATAATATTCCATTCTATAAATATACCACATTTTATCTGTTCATCGGTTGATAGACATTTGGGTTGCTTCCACTTTTTGGCTATTATGAATAATGCTGCTATGAACATTCATGTACAAGTCATTATGTGGGCAAATGTTTTCATTTCTCTTGGGTATATATATCTAAGAGTGGAGTTGCTGGGTCATATGTTTAACTTTTTAGGGAAATGCCAAACTGTTTTCCAAAGTGGCTGCACCATTTTACATTCTCACCAGCAAGTATGAACGTCCCAGTTTTTTTACACCCTCACAAACATGTTATTGTCTTTTTATTACAGCCATCTTAGTGGGTGTGAAGTGGCACCTATTCCTATTGTGGTTTTGATGTACATTTCTCTGTTGGCTAATGATGCTGAGCGTATTTTCATGTGCTTATTCCCTTTTATATATCTTCTTTGGAGAGTATCTGTTCAAATCATTTGTGCACTTTTAAATTGGGTTACTTGTGTTTTTATTGTGAGTTGAGAGAATTCTTTCTATGTTTTGAATACAAGTCTCTTAGTAGATACATGATTTGCGAAACTGTCTTACGTTCCATAGGCTTTTCTAAATAGTAATTTGTATTTAGGCAACACTTGAATTATTCAGAAGTTAAAGATTAAGTATGGATATTATCCAAACCCTTTACCTTTCTCCTGGATTTGTTCCAATTTGGAAAATCAGTGCTTACAGCATATTTTAAAAAGAGTGCACAGAGGAAAGAAAAAGCACAGTGCTTCACAGAGAGAATGTGCTCGATTAACTTTGGCAAATGAATGAATGAAATTTATGCATTTATTCCTGGTTCCTACCACTACTCTGACTTGTCGAGTCCCTCTGGGGGACTTTCAGAAGAGTGATATTCATCTTATGGGTGAAATACCCTCAGGAGAGCTATGAAGTATTCAAAAAGTATGCCTGTCTCTACATGAATGCTGGACTATTCCACATGCACACACTAAAGCATAACCACTATCACATGGGGATCCACACATTCTTCACGGTAAAAAGCAGTTTCATATTCTGCTCTTTAATTTCAAGAATCACTGACTTAAGAGAAAGAAACAGCTGTTTTTGTCACTTCCATGCTGACCCTACAGTATTTTCAATGGTCTGGGCATTTCTATGTCATTTATGCTATGGATGTTTATTTGGAGGTTCACTTTAGGGAATTTCATACTTACCTCAATATCCCTGACCTCAGAGTGATTCCTACATTGTAGTTCCCTGTCCCCTTCACGTAGCACATAGCTGCGGGAGGATGGACCTGACCCTGGGAGGGAGGCAGGTCACACTTGGCTGCCTGCCTATCAGATCAGCTGAATCTACTCTGGAGACCTTGCAGCTGACACAGTACCAGCCAGGCTGCCCGCACTTCCCTATCACTCCCAACAGTCTATCAAGATAATTTTGCAACTGCATTTGACATAATCCCTTGTATATCTTGAGTGTTGGCTCACAGCAAAAATCAGAATGATTCAAAACTGGGAAGAATCAAAGGAATTCTAGTTGGGGCTGCAGCTGAAACTGAAAAACCAAAGAAGGCATGTGTATGAAGGAAGCAAGGTGGGTAAAGGAAGAACAACAAAGGGAAGCAAGACCTTACTTGCAACCTGATATAAACAGGAGTCTAAGTTTACACAGGCAGAACTGGCTGCTGCTAGAGTTACTCAGCTCAATTACCCATCCAGGGCACTCATGCAGATGCCTGTAGGCGTGCATATGACACATATGTGGATGCGAGTCTCCGCTTACAGGCGAAATATCCCTGTGGTTATGAGTACGGAAAATGGCCCCATCAGAGAGAAGGGAAAGTGAAAAGTTTTCTTTAAATTAGTGGATTTCAGGAGTTAACATACTTGTTGTCTTAGTATAGGTTGGAGAAAACAATTTCTAAATAGAAATAGCCATCTATAACACCATATCACAGTATTTATACAATGCTTTTTCCCCCCTTCATAAATGCAAGTGCTTTTAAGTATACATTATTGCTCATCATCACAACATTCCCATGAAGATAAGAGGTTGTTTCACCAATTGATGTGAGGCTTAGAGGAGAACTGACCCTGTTTTGGAGGTCAGGGAACGAGGAATGGGTTACTGATACTTAGATCCCAGTTTGGAGCTAGGAACTAAATTAGACATTTCACATATATAAATTTCTTTAGTCCCTCTAAGAACCCCACGAGGTGGTTGGCATTATAATTTCATAGATTAAATAAAATTGCCCAGATCACTGAGCTAGTAATGGTAGAATCAGACTACATTTGTCTTATTTTAGAGCCATATTCTTTTAGCTATGTCATGTTCTTATTTGCCAATTCTAATCAACTGAAGCCTCTTGCTTGGAGGGATGTGTGGAAGGAATCAAAGCCCACGCCCAGTTATTCTAGCTGATGCTAGTGGGATGGGAGGATTGGCATCTCACATAGAACCTAACCCTCATTGTAGAATGAGTGAATGTGGAATAGGCCTCATTTCTAAGGGTCTAAAGGAAGGATTTCCATTAAACAAGGGTCTATATTTTGAGGGACCTATAGAAAGTCTCAATAAAAAGGCAGCTCCTAACAACTGCATTTTGATAATAGTTTTCCATCCTCTCCTTTTTTTGCTGCAACTAAACTAGCCATGACTAATTTTCTCATTTCTCCCTGATACTTGCCTGCTTCTTTCTTCAGTAAAAGGATTTTCTTCCTTAAAATGACATCTTCCTTTTATTTTAAAGGTGATTATTAATGAAACATGGAATGCAGCAGAAATACATTCCCGACGTGCGTGGTCAATCCACTTATGACCAGCAGAGTGGTAGGATATAGACAAGGTTGTGACAGCTTTGACCACGACAGACAGACGAAGGGAGGATCAGTGGTGCTTGTATGAAAAGGATAAAAAGATTTAACCAGAATTATACTACACCACGGTTCATGTTTTAATTTGAGGAATGACAAATATTCCTCAGTTTTCTGCTTTTACATATGTATTTAAATTTTCAGTTTTCAGGACTGAGTTGACAGATTTAAAATCCTTATTTTTATATATTAAAAAAGAATTCTTTCATTTTCTTTTGCCAATTATAGCTATCATGTATGTGTCTGTACCTTTCTCTACCAGGTTTTCACATAGAGAAAAACATCAGTCTCCCATGAGCATCCTCTGGGCTCATATTTTGCAGAGTAAAACCTGCAGAAAACTTTGGATCTGGATCCCAGTTGGTCCCAAACTTACCACACCACTTCACTTTCCAGTTCCGATTGGCATCCACTCCACGGCAGCGAAACCTTGAGTTCCTTGACCTTGTTTTTCTCCAAAATCGATCCTAGACATAATTAAGAAAACAGGTGTAGAGAAAAATACTCAAAAGGTTATTCGCATGCATTTTAATAGCTCAATCAATGAACGAGTCATACCGCTGAGGAGAGAGTTCTCCTGTGGATAGACAAGCCCGGGGAGTGAAAAAGAAGACTGGATTAGTAGTGGAGACCCAGGTTCATGCTCCAATTTCTGCTACAAACTTTCTGTATTTTGCCTTCTCTTGGCCCCATTTCTTTATAGGCAAAATTGAATAGGCTGGACTAGACCAGTGATTTTTCACTATTTATTTGGAAGAAGAAATCTTTATTTATGTGAAATCTCTACAAAATCTAGACGTGAAAATGAAATCAAATTGTTGGTGCTCTGATTGGGGAAAGAGTGAAGGTCTCTTTTGCATCTCGAGAATCACTCAGCTGTCTGTCCAGCTTCCTTCCTGTCCTGGAAGTTTGTGACTCTGTTTTCTAAGATTTATTTAGTCATCTTTTCAATTGGATAGGCAAAGTGACTTACATTTGTCCAACTAAAATGGTATCCATCGACGTTAAACACAGGCATGATATAGAAATATAGATGATTCAACATTTTTCTCATGGCTGGGTCACTCTTATGTGTTAGAAGAGCCTAAAAGACAAAGGTGAGATTTTTCTTTTAAATTGGTTCCCAAAAAAGGAGGAAAAAAGAGTGTGAGATATCCTTTGTACCCATTGTACCCATGAGAAATACCAAATACTGTGGTTTAAAAAGTAATAAACTAACATGAACTTTACTCTTCGACATCATAAATTCTCTGTTAAGACTTCTGTCTGAATTAAACTCTTTATTACCAATAATCTTTTAGCAGAGCTGTTAAAAAAGATCAATTGGGCAGCCTCTTGATTGTATTTAAGATCTGGTTAAAGTTTTAGGCTGATTAAGAAAGCAACAACATAGATAGGCTTTTGTATAACCATCTGTTTTTAGATTCCATTCAATTGTGGACAAAATCATTACCTAAATCTATTTGATAGCTTTACCCGATAGATCATAACACAGACCAGCTGCATGTCATTTAATTGTCTAATTAGTAGCAGCCTCAAATCTTGGAACCTACTGCATTGAGACTCTATTCTTTTCTCCTTACTTTTCTATAAATAATTTAATGAACAATACAACATCTTTGCCATCTTTATTGTGACTCCTTTGAAGTCTTGCTCTTGTGATTGGGTTTTACTTATATGGTGCCTGGCCCCAAGTCTGAAGATTCTGCACTACAGATTGGCCTCAAATAGAAAAATATTGTATGTGCTTTCAAGAAGATAGACATTTTGAAATATCATTCTTATGGAATGAACCTTTTAAAAAGTTCTTTATGATGCATGTTTGTCTATGTATAGAACATCTTGGAGGAGCACAAAGGCCATTTATAACAGTGGTTGTCTTTGTGGAGGGGGACTAGGGGACAATGTGTGGGAAGGAGAATTATCTTTCTCTCTCTCTCTCTTTTTTTTTTTTTGAGATGGAGTCTTGCACTGTTGCCTGGGCTGGAGTACAATGGAGCAATCTTGGCTCACTGCAACCTCAGCCTCCCAGGTTCACGCAATTCTCTTGCCTCAGCCTCCGGAGAAGCTGGGATTACAAGCAGGCACACCACCACACCGGGCTAATTTTTTGTATTTTTAGTAGAGACAGGGTTTCACTATGTTGGCCAGACTGGTCCCAAATTTCTCACCTTGTGCGTGATCCACCCGCCTTGGCCTCCCAAAGTGCTGGGATTACAGGCATGAGACACCACGCCCGGCCTATCTCTCATTTTACACTTATTTGGATTGTTTGCATTTTTACCATATTAAAAACACAATTCAGATAAATGAATTTGTTTAAAAAAACCCCACGTGGCTGGGCGCGGTGGCTCACGCCTGTAATCCCAATACTTGGGAAGGTCGATGTGGGCGGATCACGAGGTTAGGAGATCGAGACCATCCTGGCTAACAAGGTGAAACCCCGTCTCTACTAAAAATACGAAAAACTAGCCCGGCGTGGTGGCGGGCACCTGTAGTCCCAGCTACTCGGGAGGCTGAGACAGGAGAATGGCGTAGACCCGGGGGGCGGAGCTTGCAGTGAGCCGAGATCGCGCCACTGCACTCCAGCCTGGGCGACAGAGCGAGACTCCGTCTCAAAACAACAACAACAACAACCCCCACTTTATTGGGGTATTGCTGACATACAAAGAGTTGTACATATGTAATTAATGTATATAACTTGATGCATCTTGAGGTAAGTATATACCCATAAACCATCACCATAATTTATGCCATAAACATATCCATCACTTTAATAGTTTCCTCCTGCTCTCTTTATAGATTATCATTATTATTTTTTTGTGATAAGAACACTTAACATAAGCTCTACCCTCTTAGAAAGTTTTTAAGTATATAGTACAGTATTGGTAACTATAGGCATTATGCTGTACAGTCGATCTCCAGGACTTATTCAACTCACATAACAAAAACCCTGTTTCCCCCTCCCCAAATAAAAGAATTCTAAAATTATGTATAAACTGACTTGCAAAATTAAATCCTTGAAATTTCAATCTTCTTTAACATCTAGTTAAGTAGGATTTCTCAACCCACATAAGCAGCATTCTGTATTTACATAAGAATTCTATTCATCGAGAGGAAATCTAATAATACAATTTGTTAGAAACTATCACTATATTAGAAATAATATTGAAAATATAGGGATACACTCAAGAACATGAGTTAAATATAATCTTATATATAATCTAAATATCTATGAGGGTAACACAAGTTTATAAACATTAATACCCTTTCTCTCTTGTCCTTTTGTTTAAGACTCAATAATAATTTGTTGGGCAACTAACTTCAACGGGACTTTCCTATATGCTTGAATTTCTATTATCTGAAGCCTCAAGCTAGGGAGAAATCCCTAGTATGCAATCAGCTGTAAAATGGTAGAATTTTTTCCCCCAGAGAAATGGAGATTCCTCAATGCTTGGATGAAGTCTTCTGCTGGGATGGCAGGGACAGAGGTACGTGGTTGGCTACATTCTTCCTTAGCTGTGGCTTTCCATGTCACTCTAGAGAGGAAGAGAAAAGAGATGGCAGAAGAAAGGAGCTGGGGCAACAAGCCACGAAAGAAGGGGTAGAAAAAAGCTATGGTAATTTCTCTCCCTCCTCTTCTACCATTGGGGACCACAGCTCTTTTGTCTCAGTCCAAATTGAGGAAGTCTCATCTTTTCCAAGCATGGATGTTAGTACTTACATGGCCAACTGGTCTAGAGACCTGCATGACAATGCTTGCATCTTATTCTATCCTCTCCAGTGCAGGTGACCTCCATAACTTTATATTTAAAATAAACTGCTAACTTCCTTTTGAAAAACTATGACATATTTTAAGCAAATAGAAAAAATAAAGAGAAGTCTATTGCACCTATGAGCCCACCAATACATCTCCCATATTTATGAAAGCTTTAAAAAAATTGAGATATTATAAACAAAAACTCCCTTTTTATTACTTCCTGATTCCATTTGCTTTCCCTCCACCAAGGTAATTCCTATCCTAAGTTTGACATTATCCTTTCCATGCATGATTGTATGTATTGCTACATATATATGTAGCATGAGAACAATGTATGATATTGTGTGTATGCCTTAACATTATATGTAAGTGAGATATGTTAATCTGTGATCTGCTTTCCTCCCAATATAATGTTGATGTTTATTAAGTTGAGGATTTATTCATTTTAACTGTTAAATGGTATTCCATTATAGGTAAATACACAACTTATTTTGTTGATGGACAGTAAGACTGAGTTTGGTATTTCACTGTTATAATATTGCAATAAATATTCTTGCATATTTCTCCTAGACATGTGAGAGTTTGTTTATAACATATAGCCAGGAATGGATTTGTTGGGTCATGAATTTACATGTTTTTAATTCTACTAAATGTTGCCATATTTTATTAAATCAGTAAACACTCCTATCTGCAGTGAGTGCACAGGCTACCTGTGCCAGATGGTTGGAATTGCATTAATGCACTCTGGTCTATATCAGTTCACCAAACCCACACCATGGATTATATAGAATCTGATGAGTCTGGTAGGATGTGTCTCCCCACGTTTTTTGAGTTTAAAATTATCTTGGCTATTTTTGACTCTTCTCTGTTCACATTAATTTTGAAATCAAGGTTGAACACATTAAGGAGGTTCTGTTTTGTACTCAGGTTGTTTTTGTCACTAATGGTTGTTGAATTTTAGCAAATGATTTTTCTTCCTGTATTGTCATAATGATTTGGTTGTTATGATGTGTCAAGAATTAATTTTCTGTTAAACCATCCTTGTATTCCTGGGATAAGCCCATTTGGTTATGATGTGTATTTTTGATATGTTGGCTGGATACAGGTTGCTAATGCAGTCATACACTATATAACAATGTTCTGGTCAACAATGGATTGCATATGCCACTGTGGATCCACAAGATTATAATGGAACATGTAGAGAAATCTGCTATGTGACACTTGATATTTGCATTGCAGATCAATAGGGAAAATGGCTGAAATTCAGTAGTGATGCTGGGGCATTTGGTTTTCCGCATGAAAAAATATACATAAATAAAATACCATCTAGGTTTGCCTAAGTACACTCTATGATGTTCACACAATGATGAAATCGCCTAATAACACATTTCCCAGAATGTATCCTCGTTGTCAAGCAATGTATGACTGTATTAACATCCGCATTTCTACATGAGCTAAGTGTATGATTTTCTTTCGTATTTCGTCCTTGTCTGGTTTTGCTACAAGCGTTACATTACCCTATTGTGATTTGTGGGTATCTAAAAATTATATTTGTAGAATATTTTTTAATATATTTGAATTATTAGTTCCCTGAATGGTTGAACTCAGTTCTAAGATCATTTAGGTCTACAGCAGAAGTTAATGAAATATAAAACGAAGATACACTAAGAAAGATATATTCTTGTTTTCTCTTTTATTGACTTCTGCTCTTTATCATTTTGTTGTTAACAATTTTTTTTTTTTTTTTAAGAGACATCTTGCTCTGTCACCCAGGCTGGAGTGCAGTGGTACAATCATAGCTCCCTGCACCCTCAAACTCCTGGGCTCAAGTGATCCTCCTGCCACAGCCTCCCAAGTAGCTGGGACTACAGGCAGGAGGCACTCAGCTAAATATTTAGTTTTTTTTTCTGAATCTTTTTTTAAATTATACTTGTTCTAGGGTACATGTACACAACGTGCAGGTTTGTTACATAGGTATACGTGTGCCATGTTGGTTTGCTGCACCTATTAACTCATCATTTACATTAGGTATTTCTCCTAATGCTATCCCTCCCCTTGACCCTCACCTTAGGACAGGCCCTGGTGTGTGATGTTCCCCACCCTGTGTCCAGCTGATCTCATTGTTCAATTCCCACCTATGAGTGAGAATATGCAGTGTTTGGTTTTCTGTCCTTGAGATAGTTTGCTCAGAATGATGGTTTCCAGCTTCATCCAAGTCCCTGCAAAGGACATGAACTCATACTTTTTAATGGCTGCATAGTATTCCATGGGGCATACGTGCCACATTTTCTTAATCCAGTCTATCATTGATGGACATTTGGGTT